CAGTCACAAGGGAACGGATGTTATCAATGTTTGTTGATGTCAAGTCGAATTTTCTTTTTACAGCACTTTGGAAGATGTCATGAAAGTAATACCTCATTTTTACTTTGTTCTTATCTCTCGATGTATCTCTCTATTATCGACCACTTTCTTTTAATATATAAATAAGGGGTGTGTATGTGTGTGCGTGTTGACCTTCATTTCTTTGTCTTGTTATTCCTGATTTAATAACTCAATAAAATTACTCATCTTATGTTCCAAACGTTAATATTATATACAACACACACACACACACACACACATATATATATATATATATATATATATATATATATATATATATATGGTTGTTTCTCCCCTCGTATTCAACGTTTCTCCCCTCGTATCCAACGTTTGAGGGTCAAGCAGCTCAGTTCCTAGGAACCGACAGCCCATTCTCCAGCAGATATGACTTGAGGCTTATGTGCTCGAGGCTTTGTGCAGAACCATCCGCAGGTTTTGAATTCAGAGTTGTCCGTCTCCTAGACCAGTTGCCATCCAAGGCTATAGAACCTAGCCTGTGCTGTTATTTACCCATACCTGAAGGAAGAAGTGAATTAATACCTTTCGCAAGGAAATGAATGTAATGAATTCGACTGGAATTCGAACTCAGCTCTTAATCCGGGCCGCTATGCACTACTCCACCGTGTCTTATATATATATATATATATATATATATATATATATATAAAGTGTGTAAAAGCCGAGGAAAAATATAGTTAACTATTCTTCTCTTACCTATAATCCATTTTGAAACTGAACGCACGTAGGAAACAACAGCTGCCATAGAATTTCTCTTTCTAGAAGTAGAAATTGCTTCAAACATTCTCAGCAGATTAGTAATGATTTATAGAAAGGCTCCATTTGACGTCAGTGTAGTTAAATGTAGTTAGACCTTAGTGACAGACACCACAGTGGCAGTTTGTACCACACTGGTACCATTATCAGTTGTGACTCCTACGTAAGTCAGAGCCGGGCTTCTTCAAGTTAGGCCTCATTTAAAGATGAGTGATGTACTTCTGCAACATGCCAATACAAGGACTCACATAAGTTTAAATACCAAAAATAAATACTGCTATGAAAATATTTATTGAAAAAACCGAGAGAAGCAACGTCATGGCGAAGGGAATGTGACTGAAGTCGAGATGCCAGTCCAGGACTGATAATATTACAGGCCCTTCTTTGGATTTTATCAAGAATAAAGAGATATATAACAGAAGCTGCAGACTAGATGTGACATGTAATTTTCAATGCATAGACAAATGGTAGATTTATAAACGTGCAAGATGGATTCTAGCGAGAGAAATTGTCTAGTACGACGCGGTGAACCAACTTTACTAATAGCAGACATTGCAATTGATTCAATATAATTAGTCCTTCTGGAGTAATGGATAGCGGCTCGGATTGAGGAATCTGAAAGCTGAGTTCGAACGCCTGTCAGATCTATTACATTAACTTACGTGCTAATAACATAGGGAAAGGCATGAATCCTATTCTTCTCCCTTCAGCTATGGGTAAATAACTGGGGAGAGAAGACTGGGTTCTTTAGACTTGTTGGCAATCGGTCTAGTAGAAGGGAAAACGCTGAATTCAAAACTGGCAACGGTTCCGTCAGGCTATGGGACTCTCTTCACGTTAGTTAACATACTTAAGGAGACATTTTCCTCCTCCTCCTCCATGTCATTGGAACTAGTTATCGATATGGTGATATTTACACATAGCGTGTTTGGATTAATTGAAAACACACTTTCATATATTTCACTGTGAGTCCGTCCACTAAGACATCTATCTGATATTTCCTGTCTGTTATTTTTAAGATTATAGTCATTTCACATGGAGACATATAATTCAATAAAGAAAAGAAAATGATCTTATAATATTACCTCTTCATGCAAGTGGCATAATCAAGAACCTTTACTGACAGCAAACGTCTTCCATAGAAACGGTGTATCACAAGGATATCTTTTCAACAGCTTTTTAACCTATACAGTAACGCGATTCTGAGAGAATTAGAATTCCTACCAGGATTCATTATTGGCGGCCACAATCTTAACAGTAAAACATATACAGATGACACAGTGCTGATAGCTGACACAGTAGATAAGGGAAGCGAGAAAGGACTGAACCTCAATTGCAAGAAAACGGACTGCTTGATTGTCATGAAGGAAGTGCCCAATATGCAAATTGCAAATCCGAGATGCCAAACTCGAACAAATACAACAATTTAAATATCTGGAAAGTGTTTAAAAAAAAAAAAGGAAAGTGCGCTATTGAAATCCGAAGGCACATTGGGATAGCCAAAGATGTATTCCAAAAGCTAAGTAAATAAGTAATAGAAAAACATCGTTAGAAACAAGGAAAAGAGTGCCGAGCTGTTGCGTAATATCAGTCCTCCTATATGGCAATGAATGCTGGGCAATCTCCTCACAGATGAAGAAGAAACTTGAAGCATCAGAAATGTGTTTCTACTTAAGGATGCTGTGGATAACATAAAAAACATTAATGAGCGATTATTATTAGAATTATTTGCACTATTTATATTCGGAATATGTGATTACATGTTGTGTGTTAAGTTTATGTCTCATAATGGCAGTGAATCTCCTCACAGATTTAGACTTGAAGCAACGAAAATGTGGTTCTACAGATGGACGGTGAGAACACCATGCACTGAATATGTGAGCAACGACGAAGTTTTAAAGAAAATGAAAACATAAACGACGTTCATACTTAACGTCATTTCACATAATGAGAAAAGAGGGATTGGAAAATCTGATACTCACAGGACATAATGAAGACAAGAAAAGGAATTGAAAACATCGAGTAACCTACGTATTTTAATCATTTCATCCCAAGCAAGCAGTACAGAGTAAAACAGTGTATACCCTTCCTAAAAACGCTTTTGTAAATGGGTGTCAGAACAGGGTTTAGGAGAGATAACAAAAAGACAAAATTTACTAGAAGTTACAAATTATAGGAAATTGTGGAGAGCAATGATTCCTAACGTCTTGAGGAGAAACGGCATATAGAATAAGAAGCATCTGGATGTACTGGCTAAGCAACGCAGTGCAGAAATGCATAGTCATTGCTGACAGTGCTCAAAAACTGACAGACCTCAAAGCGGCACAGTTTCTGATTTTCTGTCCGGCCATGAGGAATCCATTTGCCTAATTTGCTTATCGCAGCAAAATGACCTCATAAGAGAAGGTTTGCTGAAAGGATTTATTCTCAGTTTATCTTACGGAGTTGTTATCACTTGATCTTATTTGACCTTTGTAAGTCTTCTTCGAAGCACGTTGGGAATGTTTTATCTTCGGCGAGAGAATTCGGAAGCCACCTTTTATTGTTTGCATGTTAACAGCCTGTTCTTTAAATGTCAAACTGATGTCTTTTCTAGTCTCATCTGCATTGTATTCCATTTCAAACTCATACAAATATGTGCACAGTTTCAAAAAGAGTAAATACGTAGTTTTGATTAACGGATAATCTCAATCGTTATGTACAACACTATCCAGATTTCCTACACTAAATCATTTGATATAATGCGCACTTCAATCCAGTCAACTAGATTCAACACTTTATGGGGTAATACCAAATACAATAATACACAAATCAGATTTACAATAATAAATAATACATATTAACACAAACATTTCGTTGGTAAACTAGAACCATATCTAAATAATTAATGTAAACCAGACCTATATCTACCTTGCTAATAGTAAAGTCCGGCCTCTTTAATAAGGCAATCTTAGGACAATGTCACTGCCAGATCACGGAAATCGCCCCTATGTACAGTCTTGCTACCTTATTCTAGATATATATTGCTGTGTTATCAAAGATAGAAAAAAGCTTAAAACAGAAAATAAAACGATCATTGATGCTTCCAAACAAGTTTTTTTTTATAGCCTCATGCAATACAAAACTAAAAAAAAGCCTAAAACCAAAACATTCAGATAGACTTGCTATCCTGAAAGAATAAATATCCAGCTATACACATCCAACTAAATCATAGCTCTATCGACCCACCCCTGATATTTCTACAATCTTACGTGAACGCAGAATATGCTTTGCATGCCACAGCTGGCAATCAAAACAAGAACTTACGAGTGACCGACACCTCTGGACACCTAGCCATAGGGCAAGACGGATTGATCGCCCAGTAAAAACGTTCATTGACCAAGTAGGTAGAGACACCGGATGCCACCCTAATTACATTCCGACCTTGACGAAGGACCGTGATAGACTCATGAATGCCCGAGCTAGCTTGATTAAAGAAGAAAAGAACTGAGAAAGAGTATATCACAAAAACACTGCTGCGGCAGAAAATTATAACTACTCCACAACCAGATGGCGGATGATTTAAAAAAAAAAAAAAACGTGCTAGATTACTGGATCACGGAGTAAATTGGTGGACTGTACTATCAATTGGACTTATGTATACCTTTACTTACTGCAGCCTAGATCAAACATATCTACATGTCTCAAGTCTAAGTCGAACTCTATCAATGACTAACTTTTTATAATCTAGTATACGCTGTACATTATCTTATTTTATATCTATATCAAATGACGTTATGACGACATTTTTACTGTATCATAGATTATTCTTGTTGATTATTATTTTGTTCTTTTTTTTATTAATAATGCTTCCATTATTTTTAGCCCTTTTCACATGTGAATGAGACTATTATGATTGTATTATCAACGTGTATGTTGCGGATAGAAATATTCTTAATGAAACTTGTGCGTGTATGCATATATAACACACACTAATATATATATATATATGTGTGTGTGTGTGTGTGTGATGGCCTGAAGATTGCGTTCAAGCATGAAACAATCTATCGCCGTTTGATGTTGACCTCAGTGTCCACGTTTATTTTTCACATACGCACTATCTCTGATTCTGAGCACTTTTACCTACAAATATAGTATACTTCTGATACGCTATTGTGCAATGAACTCTAAGACCAACGCATTTTCAAACAATACTGAAGATTAGGCCTGTGGTTAACTGACTGGCGAGTAATTCTTTTTGCTGAGTGACTTGACTGGCTAGTTTGACAAATGTCCCAAGTTAATGGCGATATGAGTAGGTGACTGAATGATTGAACAAGCAAGTGAACGACTGAAACGGAGAGAAATCTTATAAGTGAGTAGAATAGAATAAAAATGGAGAGAGAGAGGTGTAAATTAAACAGATACGAAAGAACAAAGAGAGATGGACAGAATCGAGAAAAGAGAGAAGTGATTATAAACGGGATGGCGTGACACAGAAAGAAGCCAGGCTTGGAAATAGGAGGTAAACGGCACACCCACACGAGGAAAAATATGGGTACACTGCTGAGGATAGTGGCTGCGGTCATCATAGTGAATTCGACATGGCTGGTGGCTGTAATGACGACTGCAGTCATAGTCGTTGTGACTGCGCAAACAGTGATGATGGTGCTGGTGAGACTGATGACTGGACCGACCAGGGAGGCGTTGCAAGTCAAGTAAGATATGTTACCATGGAAACGGTACCGCGATGACATGATGAAGATACTAGACAACAGCAGCGGAGGCAGACGTTTGACTCTTTTTCGTCTTTCTCTGTTTACTCCTCAACCATTCTTTTTTCTTTCTTCCTCCCATATATATATATATATATATATATATATATATATTTCTTTTTTTGTTGGTTTTCTTTTTGAATCTATCTATTTATCTATGTTCATGTCTCATTCTGTACCATCAACACTAGCATGTTCATCTATATCAATTTGAGTTTAATATCTGTCTTCGTTTTATCAATCCATCTATATCAATCTGTTCATATCTAGCTATTTCATTGTATCATCAGCACTTGTCTGTTCATTTCTATCAATAAGCTTGGTCATGTGTATGTATCTATATCAGTTTCCTAATATATATATATATATTGCTCCCCATATATATATATATATATATATATATATATAATATATATATATATATATATATATATATATATATATGGGAACAATGAGTGAATCAGTTTAAGACTATGATTTATTAATACCGGAAACAATATTAACAACAGAAGATACCCAGATAATACCCTGTTTCTATCTATCTATCTATCTCATTTTGTACATTATCTATCCAACTATCATTTTAACTTCTAATTTCTAATTCTCTCACTTTGTGCATATTTTTTCTCTTTTTGTATTTTTAAAACTTGAAACCATTTTTATCTTTCTTTCTTTTCTTTCTCTTGTCTTATCTCTCTTTCTTTTTTTCATTCTTTCCTTTTTCTTGTTTTATCTCTATTTCTTTTCTTTCTCTTGTCTTATCTCTCTTTCTTTTCTTTCTCTTGTTTTCTCTGTCTTTCTTTTATTCTTTCCTTTTTCTTTCTCTTATCTCTCTCTTTCTTTTCTTTCTCTTGTCTCTCTTTCTTTCTTTTCTTTCTCTTATCTCTCTCTTTCTTTTCTTTCTCTTGTCTTCTTTCTTTCTTTTCTTTCTCTTGTCTTCTTTTTTTCTTTTCTTTCTCTTATCTCTTTCTTTCTTTTCTTTCTCTTATCTCTCTCTTTCTTTTCTTTCTCTTATCTCTCTTTCTTTCTTTTCTTTCTCTTGTCTCTCTTTCTTTCTTTTCTTTCTCTTGTCTTATCTCTTTTTCTCTCTTGTCTTTTTCTTTCTCTTGTGTCTCTTTCTTTTCTTTTCTTTCTCTTGTCTTCTTTCTTTCTTTTCTTTCTCTTGTCTCTCTTTCTTTCTTTTCTTTCTCTTGTCTCTCTTTCTTTCTTTTCTTTCTCTTGTCTTATCTCTCTTTCTTTCTTTTCTTTCTCTTGTCTCTCTTTCTTTCTTTTCTTTCTCTTGTCTCTCTTACTTTCTTTTCTTTCTCTTGTCTTCTTTCTTTCTTTTCTTTCTCTTGTCTTCTTTCTTTCTTTTCTTTCTCTTGTCTCTCTCTTTCTTTTCTTTCTCTTGTCTCTCTCTTTCTTTTCTTTCTCTTGTCTTCTTTCTTTCTTTTCTTTCTCTTATCTCTCTCTTTCTTTTCTTTCTCTTGTCTTCTTTCTTTCTTTTCTTTCTCTTATCTCTCTCTTTCTTTTCTTTCTCTTGTCTTCTTTCTTTCTTTTCTTTCTCTTGTCTTCTTTCTTTCTTTTCTTTCTCTTATCTCTCTCTTTCTTTTCTTTCTCTTGTCTTCTTTCTTTCTTTTCTTTCTCTTCTCTCTCTCTCTCTTTCTTTTCTTTCTCTTGTCTTCTTTCTTTCTTTTCTTTCTCTTATCTCTCTCTTTCTTTTCTTTCTCTTATCTCTCTCTTTCTTTTCTTTCTCTTATCTCTCTTTCTTTCTTTTCTTTCTCTTGTCTCTCTTTCTTTCTTTTCTTTCTCTTGTCTCTCTTTCTTTCTTTTCTTTCTCTTGTCTCTCTTTCTTTCTTTTCTTTCTCTTGTCTTATCTCTCTTTCTTTCTTTTCATTCTCTTGTCTCTCTTTCTTTCTTTTCTTTCTCTTGTCTTTCTTTTCTTTCTCTTGTCTCTCTTTCTTTCTTTTCTTTCTCTTGTCTTATCTCTCTTTCTTTCTTTTCATTCTCTTGTCTCTCTTTCTTTCTTTTCTTTCTCTTGTCTTTCTTTCTTTCTTTTGTCTCTCTTTCTTTTATTTCTTTCTCTTGTCTCTCTTTCTTTCTTTTCTTTCTCTTGTCTCTCTTTCTTTCTTTTCTTTCTCTTGTCTTCTCTCTCTTTCTTTCTTTTCTTTCTCTTGTCTTCTCTTTAGCCTTTTTGTTACTCGTTTTAGTATCTTTATTTTCTTTATTTCTCCATGCATTACAGGTTTTGTCACTTTGTTATCTTCCAAGTACTCAGTCACATACCATTTTCTTCTCCCGTCTCTGTTTCTCTATCTTTTGTTTACCTCTTTCATTTCTTTTGGAGAATTTAACACGTTAGCCATCGTAGACGTTGTTCTTTCAGTCTCTCCCCCATCTCTTCCCTGGTTTATATTTACTGTTTTCATATTTTTGGCGTTTACGTCTCTCTCGCCACTCTTCATATAGCATCTTTATCACTATCACATACTTCTCTCTGTACACACGCACAAACATACATATATATATATATATATATATATATATATATATATATATATATATATATATACGTGTATTTAGGTAACAAAATTTCACCCAAATAATAATTGAAATCCACAAAGTCTATTCAAACTTTTATTTTTATCTCTAAGACACACACATTATATATATATATATATATATATATATATATATATATATATATATATCCTAATGAGCCAAGTAATACCTAATTGGTTTCACCACATGGGATAATCAGGATGAACCAGCTTTTTTCCTCAGATGCTAATTTATTTGAAAATTGTGCTATACAAGTTTTTTTACCCACCGAGTTATATATATATATAATATATATATATATATATATATATATATATATATATATATATATATATATAACTCGTTAGGTGAAAAAAAAAAAAATTGATAGGAAAATTTTCAAATAAATTGTCATCCCAGGAAACATGGATATATATATATATGCATATATATATATATATATATATATATATATATTCGCTCTTTTCCACTTATCTATCGCCATATCTATGCATTTGAGTCTTTTATTTGCTTAAAGCGTTAAATAGTTGCATATTAATTCATTAGTGGATGTTCGACTTCTGTTAAAAGCTATCATTGCTAATGCTGCTCTTCACGGTAGGTCTTTTACCAGTTGGATGATTGGCGCAGTACAGTCTTTATTTTGGCTTTGAGTTATACTTCAGTTAACTAAATGCCTATATTATACCAAATTGGTAACCAAAGTAGTTATATAATCCTTATAGGCAATTGTCGGCGTTCGAACCTGGAAAATAAACTAAATTTTGGATTCTGATTTATCAGCTAAAAATTCGAAGTTTAGCGCAACACAATCTTCGACCCTATGTACCAGATAAAATATGTATTTGTGTGTGTGTATGAGAGAGTGAGAGAGAGAGAACAAGAGACTGTTTTTGTAAATGTACAAGTTTAAATAAAAACGTTTTAATCGTATATAGAGTTGGTGGATAGATTTTATCTGTGAATAGTAAACTAGAATATATATATATATATATATATATATATATATATATATATATATATATACGTTTAATACATACTTTCTTTCTTCTTGACACTGTCGATGGTATATTTATGAAATTAATATGGACAGATTTCTGAATATCTATACCCAGTCTAACTGGGGAGAATTACCGAAAATAGTTTGGAATAAAGACGAGGAAGAGACTGTCATAAATAACTTGAAAAGTAGTTGTTCCGAAGAACTCATATATACATACCATAGCCCTGGAGTGATGGTTATCTGTTTTCAGTCGCAGACAGACCATTATCATTGTAGTATTTTTGATCTTCAATGTGTGTGCCTCCCAATTATGGCTTTAGGCTGGAGTAAGCTAAGTTTAGCAAATACCTACCCACACACAGACTAACACACAAGGAAAACTTGTCTTTACCAACGCTTTTCGTCCTCTGACTGAGTTTGTTAGAATAAATATATGGATTTTATTCTGAAACACGTATTTATAAACAGAATGACAAATAGCGTTAGGTCTTCAAAATTTTGAAGTGTAAGAATGCTCAGAAATATTCTTATCCCTCATTTTGAAAGTCAAGGTAAACTATAAATGATGCTAAGGAATTTAATAAACGAAAGTCAGTAAATGTTATTGTTGTTGTTATCGAGTTTTTTAATTTCCTATTTGTCTACATGTATTTATTATATATATATATACACATACATATATTATGACAATATGATATATATATATATATATATATATATACAATATATATATATATTATGGATGACAATATATATATATATATATATATATATATATATATATATATATATATATATATATATATATGACTATTATCTATATATATATATATATATATACACACACACACACACACACACACACTGTGGATGACAATCTATATATATATATATATATATATATATATATATATATATAGTGGATGACTATTATATACGTATATATTGTGGATGACCATATATATATATATATATATATATATTTTACAAAAACAAAAATTAGTAAAATAAAATAAATTTGTTGAACACTTATATTTTCCTTTAACTGTAGCATCAGTTGCGGATCTAATATGAAATTAATAAAGCTTAATCTTCAGAGCCCCTAATCTCAGACGAGCCCCTTAAGCAACTGTTTTAATGAGTCTATTTTTCAACAAAATCGATGCTTTTTTTAAGTGCTTTTTGTTAGAATAATGCTATTTTAGTGATAGAATCATAAACTAATGAGTTGAAGTAGCTAATAGTGACCTTAGAACATGCTCTAATACTCATATCATATGGCCTCAAGATTCCGCTGAAATTGTTCAAATTTCAAAATTTTCTTGAGCGCTTGCAGCGCTCGATCCCTCGGCTGTATGGGCTTGTTGACCTCACCAGAATCGTTTCATAGCCTACATTTTGGCAGATGGACCCTCAAATCTATTGCTGCTGGTTACGA